CGAAAAATCAAAGAAACCCTCCCCCCGAACGAGAGAACAAATACGAGCGGGCGTGGCTCGCGGGAGAAAAATTCGTGACTTTTCGTCAGAGAGATGGGGACGAGCCATCCGTTTTTGCTGTCATTAATTCCTGGGGATATCGTCGGCGTCACGGCGAGGGTAGCTTTCTTTTCTCGTACGACGAACAGAGATTATGGATCCGCGTCTTCCAGACGAACGGACCAAGAAAAAACAGGGCCGCTGCACGGAATCTCGAGACTCGTTCGCCGGATCATCATGAATAGAGGAAACCCAGAGACTTTCTAGCAAATGAAGATTCTGCGTTGGACCGCCGCCAAAACGGCGAATAAATTTGCACTGGACGCGCGCGCTTAAGATCCGATCGAATAATGAAATCTCGAGGAAACGCAGCGGGTTCGTTTACGTTTAATTCGGAAGGCTGATTGGTCAGAGTGGTGGCTACCGTTTTGGTAAATTTGAGCAAAGGTGTATCGTTAATATTTATTATTAATGAGGAGTGTTCCATGATCGATAAAGGACGATTTTTGGAAATTTGCAAAATGCTTAGAAAATGCAATGAAATTGTGGAAGGATGGGATTATGAAATTCTTTTTTTATTACATTCTCTAACGATCGCTTTTTCTCACTGAAAATTCTGATATTACTTTCTGGCCTGCTAGAATTTAAAGGGTATAAGTTTCAAAGCGTCGAATCTAAAAAAGTGAACTTATCTAGCTATTTCTGAAATGCCACAAGCTTACGGAAAGGTAGTCAAGGAACGTGTGGCGATTTATGCGCTCGGTGGTCGCGGAGGAACCAATCGAGACGCAGAAATGGAAACCTGTGCTCTCGATTTCCCGGTCGCCGGGACTATCGACGAGATTTACCCGTAAAAGGGCCGATCGACCGAGAGAGGCGAGCGAGTCCTCGGTCAAAGCCAAAGTCACGCTGAGGTAATCTCGGGGTCAGGGTGTTTTCTTAGGAAATACGGTTTCTCCGTGGGAAGAAAGGCCCGGGGAACCGAAACGAGGGAGAGCAGCGATTCATATTTTCTCGAGACGAGAGAAAACACGAGGACGGTTGGGCGTTGCACGTAGACGCGCGAGACGCGGTCGTTCGAGAGATATCGATGCTGGGTAGGATCGATTAGAGAGGCGTTGCGAGAGCGTTGTCGCGAAGGTCGAGTCGCGCCTCGACGGAAGAAGAATTTCCGCGGAGTCGGACTGCTCGCAAGGTCGTGAAAGTAATTAAAAGTGAATCAAGCCTGGTGAAAGAGGGGAGACGCCTAAGTACTGCTTGCCAGGAGAGCGCAATTAAAGCGTTGCGAAACGAAGATATCCCCCGCGTGGAAAAAAAGTCGATCGGACCGTAGATCCGGGATTTTCTTTTGCTATCGCGCGATGATATTAAATAACGAAACTAATATTTGGTAGATTCGCTACTTTCGAGGGAAAGGCGCCCGGAGACGCCGCGTTTTGCGCCACGAGATCGTAAATCTCCGTCGTTGAAAAGAAAAACAGCATAACTCGACCAAGTAATTGCTTTGACCGCATACCGACAGCGACTGTCGTCCGAAACGCTGGAAAAACGTCCAGTAATTGCCGAGCCGAACGTTTAACCCGTTATTCAATGGTTCGTCGCGGCAAGGACGTCGATGCGAGTCGCTTCTGCGAACAATCGGCGACGAGGACGTTTTCTCGCGACAAAAAGAACCGCGTTACCGTTATCCGTGTCGATGGAAATTCCACGTGCGACCAAACGGCTGCCACGGTAGCGCTAAATTCTGCTACGTCTACGAATCGTAACCGAACACTCCTCGCGACGCGAGACAAAACCGCACAAACCAGACTTGCGAGCGGAGCATCGTCTCCGTCGGTGTCTAAGAAAAATTCATTTTTACTCCGTGATCGTTCTCGAGGACTCGTCCGGGAGCCAGGGATCGCGTTACGCAAGACTAGACACGCACGACGCTAATTTATTTATTTATTTATTAGCTTGTTACGTATGATATTACACGTTCCTTTCGTTCGAAACGTACGCGATCGTTTTATCGAGCGAGTTCAAACGTAATATTTTACAAGCTACTCGTATAACAGTATTCCTTTTTATCTTTTCGATTTCTCTCTGTTTAACACCTTACTTCTGGGACCGGTCGATCGACTTACAGTAACCGCGAAAGAAACGTCGCGGAAATGTTTAGCCCAGAAGAAATCATCGATGACAAGCTCGAGAAACACAGTGGCCTCGCGTAATGTCACGAAACGACGGGGAAAAGGAAGTTCCAAGAGCTTCCGAAGGGAAAGTAAATTTCAATTCTCGACAAAGTCAAACGCTGTTTCGGGTTTCGAAGACGATTTATTCGTGGGTGGCGCGGTTCGACCGGAAATGGAATTCCCGTACGCCCGCGATTTAAGAAGCGTAGTAAATTTCCTACCCGCGAATTATTCCGCTCGCGCGACCACCGAGCAAGAAGTTAACATTGGGGAAACTGGATTCCCCAACGGCGAGCATAATCGAGTTGAATTTTTAACCGGGATTGTTGCCACCGGTTCCTGAAAGACGACAGAACTAATCGAATTAAAAACGTTCATGAATTTTAATACTTCCTCCCCGGGCGAAATGAGTTTTCGCCGCGCGTTTCTTCGTTCGATTCCTCGGCCAACCGTCTCGCCTAAATCTTATATTACTCGGGCAGAGCTACTTGCGCGGAATTAACAACTTCTTTCGAAAGATTTCGGCCCCCTTCGCGATCTTCGCCGCTGTTCGTCAGAATTTTAATTCGAATATTTATTTTGTCCCCTGATTACGAAATTTGTTAACACTGGAACTACCAAAGCAGTCGAAATGACCCACCTCGACTTAATTTTTTAAGAATAAACACTTATTTCCATTCGCTTATTTATCGTTTTAATTTCTTTAATTGTCGGTAGTTCTAGTGTTAAAAAGGTTAATGTAATCCCAAATACGTTTGTATAAAATCTCGTTAAAAAGATCGCGACTTTGTATGAAAATAAAGAACAGACGAGCTGAGAGTTAACGTGGCGACGCGTAAACAGCAAGCGGTGTTTAAACGTATAAATCTCTGGAGTCGTACGAACGTGGCCAAGTTTGCTCGTAAAAGAGTCCAGATGAGACACGCCGATAAGCAGCGGGGAAAGAAAAGTTTCCGCTCGCTTTCCGGAGAAGAAGAAACGACGGAGTAAAAAGAACAAGTAACCCGAACTACGGGGATTGTGGGTCACTCGGCGTACGGCGTTCCACTTTCTCCTTTTCCCAGGTTTCGTGGACGGCCCACGACCCTTCGCCTCTGCGCGGCGTAAAACGATCCTCCGAGGAAGTTGTAAAACTTCTGCCGTGTCCACAGGACGCGTAAGATCGTATCGCCGTTGTGCAATAGAAGCGACGAAAAGCGCCGCGATCGCCGCGTCGCGATAAATAAAAGAAGCCTCGCTGAAAGGACATTGTTCGCGAACAGGGCATTCTTGGTGCCCCGTGGGAACGGAAAATTGTTTATACAACGTCCTACGTGGCCGTAAAATACGATAGGAAAGTTTTATATACCCTCCATTGGAAATTGTAGATCTTCGAAGCAACTTTAATTGCAGTCGAGCGGATTCATACGTGTTTCTTCGTGGAAAGAAAAATTAAACGCGCGGTACAAGGACGTAAGCGGAGGCATAACCAGCGTATCTGCGAATCTACATAACTCGAGGACACGTAGTAATAATTCAGGAAATTGTTCAGCGAGTCTGAAGGAGGTCTAGCGATACGGGGGAATCGTAAAACTTGCTACACGGGTGGACAACGTATCTACAGCATCAGGATTTATATGGAATCGTAATGGTTGAAAATAAAATCCTTGCAAAATGCGTGTATCGAGCTTCGCGATAAATAGAAACATCCACGCTACTTGATCTCGCGTAGATTTTGAAGTTTGGTAAAAATGAATGCATATATTTGATACAAATATTAGATATGATACCCTGAATTTTCGATAATTGTGTGACGCTATTATTCAAACGATCAATGAAAAATAAAATTCCGTTCGCGAAATATGAATTCCTATATTTTCCTTCATTTCGTAAATCGGCGTAAATGCATTGCTACGCGTATAATAAAATCGTCTATTTCGTCGAACAGGGGGGGGGGAAAAAAGGTTGTTTTCGAGCGGACATCCATCGCGGACTCGAAGCTCCAAACGCAAAGGGATTACGAAGCGAGGAGAAAGAAATACGTTCCATGCAAATTCCCTCGGTTTCCCGGTACAACATAATTGCCCCGCGAAATGGACCAAGGTAAATCTGTTCGCGAGGAGGGCAGGGACACGGCGTACAAAAAAAAAAAGAAAGAAAAAAGGACGGTACAAAGCTATAATGGCGGAAACGAGGCGAGATGCAAATGAGAATCCCTGCGCGGTGAGACGGTGCACTGCTCGCAGGTGCGCGGATAATCGATTTTTGCGATCGTAACGAGCGACGCTCTGCGAGGGATTACTACGATTATCCGAATAATTAGCCCCGTAGTTTCGGGGTGGGAGTAGCAGCAAATAAAGCTCGACTCGGCCTGCCGGCGAATTCGAATTCCATCGGTGCGTTTGGTCGCATAACTTCGATGCACCGCGATTCATCGCAAAAATTCGAACCTACAAACCGAACTTGTACCGACCGGTTGATTAATTCGCTAAATTAACTCGATCTCTAAAAGAACAATATTTGGGGCGTCGAAATTTGGCGAAACGATAGGGAAATTTACAAATTTCGACCGGGCAACGAAAGTGTTTTATAAAATAGCGTTCTACGAGTCTTAAGGAATCCAAAATTATTTACAAAAATAAGTAATCGAGAAATCAACCGGCAAACGGCTCGTGTTGAATAACTATTGCACTCCTATGGCGGATCTAGAGTCGCCTGATTGGTTTCCATTTAATTATCGTGGAAAACGAGGGGACCCGCGGGGGAGATACGTTGGAAAGAAAAGAGCGATAAAATGCGTCGACTCACCGAGCGCCTTGCAGCTTACGCCACGCAGGGAATGTCCGGTGAGCTGAATGATGGCCATGAGGAGTTCACCGAGCATCAGGCATGCGACATGATGAGTCTGACAGCGCCAATGCAGAACATGATGAGAGGCTGGCAGCAGCCAACCAGCGACCAACGTCGCCATCAGGAACACCGAGCTGATGATGAAGCCCACGGGGTACAAGGTGAATCTGATGTCCGCTGCCTTCATCCTCGGTCTGCAACGTCGGTTAATTTTAATTATTTTCATTGGAAAATTTACTTCTCATCTTTTTGCGACCCTCCAGGTCAAGCCTTAAGGTTCAAGGAACCGATTGGAGCACTTTTAAAAGCGGAAACATCCTCAAAAATCGCATGTTACTTATACGTATACTTTTTGTATGCCTCTAGAATTATTTGCCCGCTCGCATAGTACGCAATCGTAGAGGATTTGATGCGCCCTATTAATTTTCAAAAGGAAGAAAATACATAAATAACCATGAAGTACCGTATCAATTTCTATCCCGAATCGAATAAAAACGAATCGTCGACGCGGATCCGTCGGTTCCTGAATTTCAACGCGGATCTACGATCTCGTCGATCCAGGCGAGTGAAAGTACCGGGGAGGAGAAATCGTTTCTCCGATTCCACGAGATGGTTTCAGCTTAGTCACGTCGACGCGCGTCTCGCGTCGAATGAATAAACACGTAGAAAAGAAGAAATAACTATTTTCCGAGTAATCAACCGGACATCGCGAACGCTCCGAGCGTCGCGTGTCCCACGATGCGTGACCGTTTCTACGCGATGGTATTTGTTTTCTTTCGTCGATCGATCGTCGTCGCAAACTTTTCCACGAGCCATCGGTGACCGCTGTGCAAACGTGCGGCGAACACCTTCGATTCGAAACGAAACGACACGATGTGTTCCCCCGTGTGTGGTCGTTGGAAAAGCTTGCCTCTTCTCCTCGGCCGCGGGCCACGTGTACACGGTCGCGTTAATTGAGTTTCGAGCGTTGCTTTGCAAATTGCACGCGAAACCCGTGAGCAACCCGCGATACACGTTTTCTGTGTAATTTCCGGGACTCTTGCGCCGCGGACCCTATTACCGCCCATCGTTCCCGGCTATCCCGAGCCCAGACTGGACGAGGAACACACGCGTACCTCGCAAACGGAATCCATAATATCGAACGACCAGCACCGCTGCAAAGTTGCTCAAGAAATTCCGTTTTTGATTTGGCTACGACTCCGTATTTCTGTCGCGATATTCCCTCTCGTACACGCAATCATCCTGCTCCCCGTTCGCCGTTTGATCAAAATTGACGTTTATCCGTTTATACGTTCGTTTATACGTTCGTGGACAAAATTTTAAATAACACGTACCATTTAATAATTTTTCAAACGTGTACTATTTAATTTCGTTTAAAATATTGAGTCAACGAATCCACGAAATTGCAATGGGCGACGAAGAATTAAAATAAACGAGGAAACTTTTCTTTTTTTGTCGGGCTCAAGTACCTGTTACGCCTTGAGCACACAGTGACGCAAGTAAAGGATTCTGTTGTTTCACCAAATACCAAGCTCGAGTATCGAGGACCGAAGTGCCTCGTGTCTTTGGCGATCGGCTCGAAAAAAGTTTCGAGCGTCGCGTATATCGTCTGAAGGAGGAACGAGTTTCACGGATGACGCGACGCGACCTAGAAATTCTTGTTTCGAGAGAGGAACGAAAGCGAGCCCGTAGGTGTCATCGGTCGGCCACGGTATACGATCGAGCATGCAATTAAGCCGTACGATAAATCCAGATCGGGACAGGCGATCTTTAACCGAACAAAAAGTCGATTCGTGCTTGCGGAGCCGCGCAAAGTGGGTCGTCCATCGATCCAGCGCGATCGAAAATAAATGAAACGGAACGACGAGCAACGTTTCGGCCACCGGTAACCCCGATTTGCATCCGCGAATCCCGAACGCGAGCCGAGAGTCGTAATCGTATGCGCGATTATTATTTCAGACGGTTTATCCATTATTCACGATCTCGCGGTCGCATTTCCGGCAACGCCGTTAGTTTTTCGTCCAAGTTCGAAACACGCGACGCCGGCCAGTTTCCGTTCGTTGCTTTAATTTCAAAAGCCAGAGCTCCCCGCCAAGTGGAACGCTCGTTGCGCTGGTTTCGGTAGCGCGAAACTAACGGGAGAAAATCGTAGCGGCGAGAAACGGAAAGGAAAATAATAAAATTTCCGTCCGTGTTGATTGCGGAAATACAACCGCGCGAAACGAAACGTATCTAGAAACTGGGACGGAGCTGTTTCCGCGCGCCGAGGCAAAAAATTCACGCCAAGAAAAGAGTCGAATCGTTCGCCATAATTATTTTTAAATCAATGAGACGGAAAGTTTAAAATTGCTCTAGGGTCGAGTTAAAAGAAACAAAATTAGGGGATAAATTTAGCTCGTCACGAGTACCAGGATGATTATAACGAATATAATCTGGGTTCTCTGTAGCTCGTTAGAACAGAGTTTGGCGGCGCATGTAGGGTGTCACGCGTCGAGGAAACGTAATTATACCCTTGATTCTTCACGATATTTTCGTTATCTAGGGTCGTTTCTCTTCAAAGTTTCTGAACAAATGCTAAAGGGTGGAAGGATAAGTATGCAACGACGATAATAAAGCTTCGAACGAACCTTTGGGACGCGTGTTCGGAGCAAGCGAACACCTTCACCACCAGGTTCAATTCCTTGATCCTCTCGACGCAAAACTGGCCGGTAGGTAAGGTGATCCCATCTATTTCCAGGGCTCCGTCTGGCAGCAACATGGCATCCTTCGCATCCCCCAAAATCGTGAAGTTGTCCGAACGCGGACACGTTGGGAACCCCGACACGATCTCGACCGCCGAGGATGCGTTCGGTAACAATGGAGCAGCATCTGCGGGCTCCTTCAGCTCGGCGCAGGTGTGTCTGCAAAACATATATGCAACCTTCGAGTTCCCGTTTTGCCCCTGGAAACACCTTTCTTTGCGATCCTCTTTCATCCAGCTCCGAAAATACAAAAAGAGGAATTCCGATTCCTCGAACGTAAATTTTCTATATTCTTAAATTTTACCGTTCATTGCATTTTTCGAAGCTAATAATATTATATTGCGACAAGTCGGTGGTAAAAGTTTCGTTAATTATTCGCGAGTAGAATTTGGTCAACTATGCTGGAACCGCGATGGAGTTTGAACGGCGAGCTTGTTTTCGTCGAACAGAGTTCGACCGCACGAATGGAAGGCAGTGGTATCACGGTTCGCGAAAGAAGGTCGTATCGCAGGCATTTATCTAGGGAAACGCTCGCTGGCTGCACAGAATGCCAACAAAGTCCACGGAACGCCCAAGCATGAGCGATTGGAAACGCGATTAAAACGGAGCCCAACGTTTCTCTGTTTGCCCCAACGTCACGCTTGCATCGCAAACAAAACGCGTTCGAGCAACGCTCCCGGGAGCGACCGTGTTCGATCATTTATTTTTCGCCCCGGTGTCAAACGACAACTTTCAACGGAAATACACTGCACCGGATGAGAGCAATAAATTTCCCCGAAATTTTATTCGGGGCTAATCGACATTTCCCCGCGCTCGAAATTAAAATGTACGAAATTAAGAGTCCAGGGATAAAAGTTTCTGTATTCGAAAAATGCATCGAAAACGTCGAGGATAAAAGTTTTTACGTAATCTTAGCGCTCCGAGGAATCAGGATGCCGTTGGTTATTTCATCGATATGCGATGGGAAAGTCGTAATAAATATGCGGATAGATAGGAATGCGTGGCGAGCACGATTCCGTCCGATCGATGCGTTTCATCCTCGTCTTCGTCGGATTCCGTGCAATCTGTCCAAGTATTTATCCGGGGAATTCGATCAGAAAGTCTGTGGAAGGTCCAACGAAACGGAGAAAACGGTCTGTTGATACAGGAGAGCAACAACCAATGCAACGTGTGCCAAGAATGCGTCAGCGCGCGATGTTGAAAAATGCAGAACGTATTACCGGTTGTTGCTTTCGCTGTACCAACAGTTTTATGATTTCTCGATTCCTCGATCTTTTCTCGAACACTTCGGAAATGGACGATCGAGGAAGACTAGTCGAGTTTGCACCGCCTCCTATAACATTCCGACCTTTAGGCGTGTTGGTTGTAACTTTTCCATCGCTCGTCGATTAAATAACTACAGTTTCCTTGTTGCTAATTAAACAGTATTTCAAGTAGATTGTTTCAAGTTTGCCTATGGTTGCTTGCAATTTAAGAAAATTTTGACAGTCGAGAACAGGTGTATTGGACAAAGTCGTGTCTCGACGGATCCGGACAATTGACTTTAATATTGACGTAACCTTTTTACAGTCCAGACAAGCGTCTACGATACGGGCAATGTCAGACCTCGTGGTCCTATCCTGACAGGCACAAACGAGCCTAACGCGCTAAACGAGTTTCGACTTATTACCTACAGATTGTAGGGATAAAAAGAGCATTAGATTCGTTGAACCGGTATACGAACCCGGATCTAGCGTCAGTCAACCAACTATTCTGTCAATTAAGCTATCTCGACCGGTAGATTATTTCGTATTGTGTAAATAGTAAAAAACAGATATGCTTCTGCCATGCAGTAACGCTCATTGTTATCTTGTACCTGACTCCTAACGCGATCGCTTACATTATATTATCGCGCTCGTGCTGCTTCGAAACGTGCTTACGTGTCTAACGATACATGCGTTCCAACATTTCCGTCGATACGTAAACTTTAGAGAAACGAATGAAATCGATTGACAAAGTTCGTTTCTTAATCTAAACGTTTGTCCTTAGGTATATTTTAAACACGCAATATATGGACAAAAAGACAGATATTCTTCGCCTTTGATATTGCTCCAAAACGAGTCGAACCTGTTCACCTACTCCCTGTGGTACAAGACACGCAAATACAGCGAATCACCTAACTTTACCAGATTAAGTAGCTTCTGAATCGACAATCGCGTGTAAAATGTTTTTCTACTGCATCGTACCAAGATGGACGTATAATATGTGAAACTTTTACTTCGAGTGATTTATTCGTTTATCGATCAGGGTACATTCGCAAATCACGGTAAAGTGAATTGCATATAATCTGGATTCGCTTCGCCAAGTGGAACATTAGCGTCTTACCGGACCCTCTTACGCAGAGGGATTATTAAATGGACAAAGATATGCTTGCGTTCTGTTGACCGATTTGTCTAGTCTACCGTAAACTTTACAAATGGGCTCCCAATTATGTTCTGTAACGCAAGAATAAGCCGAGCCGCGCTGAATAACATTTTCGAGGTTCGCTGGCTAGGGTGGAATGGCCCTGTAAACTTCATCCCCACTTGTTTACCAAGATTTAATTGCAATGAATCTTTCGTTTCTGCGGGGAGAGGGACATTAAAAGAACTCCGAAATAAACAAATTACTTCTGACGAGCATTGCCTCGATGCACTTTCGCTAAAAATTTAATTTCTCGAATAAAACGTTGAACACGGTAATGATAGGTATTCAAGAGCTGCTTAATAGAGGTACAAAAGTAGTTTTGCTAGATAACTCGAATCGGAATCTCAGGTAGAGACTTGGGTCGAAAGTATTTCGCATCAACGGAATATTGGGATCCCTGGAATTTGTTACCTGACTTCGGGACGCACTTGAGCTTGATACGTCCGAAAAGTGTTTACAAACACTACGCGCTACCTATCGTACACCTATTTTAAAGCAGCAGTTTCGAGCACGTTATACAACTCTGTACCGTTCCAACGATGAATTTTGCAATAGTTAATAAATTACTAAAACGAATGCGTGAAGTTTGCCCAAATATAAGAGAAAGCTTCTACCCGGAACGCTTCGAATTTTCCTCCATTCGCAATAGCAATAAACAGCAAAATAATATTACAACGGGTTAAAGATACATTCTGAATAGAAAGCGACTTAAAACTCCAAACTACTTTCCTCATGGACTCGTAAAATCGTGTAGAAATTTTTCTATTCTTCTAAGAACTATGGCTTGATTTTCGTAATTCCGGTCAAAGTATGTCAGTCGACCTAACACATGTCGCGCCGGGATACAACGTCGAGATTTTAGATTAGAACCCTTCCGAACACGGTTTCCACGAGGTGTTAATAAACCGTTCAAACATATGGGAGGGTCCCGGAAGGCTACGATCGCCGTACAAGGAACACAACGTATCGTTGGGAAATTTCATCGGGGTAAACTCACATTTCTTCGTGGAAAGCTGCGTCCTCGTCGCAGCAGCGTCGAACACGCGGTCTCATGGTAGCTGCCGCGTGATTTCCCTCCATTTTTTTCTGCACGCATACCAACAGAGCCTTGGAGTCCGCGCAGTATTGGTCCGGCTCGAATTTATTGTCGTCGTGTACATCGAGGATCGCTTGGCCGTCCTCGAGAAGCACGAACGGATTCGAGCTTCTGTAGGGCACGAACGTCAGCACCGAGTTCTCGCCGCACTCTGGCTTCCTACCCTGGACGATGTCCCATTCCGGCGGCGGATCGTGCAGGTTGATCTGCCTGGACGGCGAGAAGATGAAGGGTTTCCAGTCGTTTGTGGTGGCTTCGCAACGGGTCGCCGTGTCCAGATCGCCGTCGAACACTTTCACCAGTTCCTCTTTGTAACGACAGCACTTGAGGATCCTCAGCTTGGATCGCGCGGAATCGCTCGGCTCGGCGAGGACGACGACCGCGAGCGCGGCGAGGATCGCTGCCAAACGGAACAACGCCTTCATGGCGCCTTTCGACAGGGAACACGCGGATGCACGATCGAGATACGCGGTACGGAACACTGCTCGATCAAACTAGGACCATTACCCGGAGATCGATCGAGATTCGGTCACTGTTACGTCGGTACAACATTCGATGGACCGAGTCTCTTTTCTAGACGCGTCAGGACCTACGTAAACACGATTTACGGACGGTGGTACGTTGATATTTCGATTCTCGATATTTTCTAGCGTTTCGTGTGCAGAGACGAGCACGACGCGAGAGCATCAACGGCGATCATCCGTAATTACGGCGACGGGACGTACGTTTTGGCGCGTTTCGGTCGTTGGTCGGGTTGAGGATCGGACGTGACTCAACCGCTCGAAGGTTTCGGAGTTACTGAAGCGGCCCGACCACGCGGCCGTCTCTCAAGCCACCGGCAGCAAGCGTGGCTCCAAGGTGCGCGCGCAACCGTTCGCTACTCCCGCCCTTATTCAACCGCCTAGCTTTCTTCTTTCTTCGCGACGACCTTCGTCGCGACGCCGCTCGCCCCGCGGGGTGAATTCGCGACCACGTGCTCGATCCCACTACCCGGCCACCTTCCCGGAAGTGCAACGGTACTTTGCGTGGAGCTCGGCCCTGTTGTTCCGTGGGAAACCGGCGCGCGTCTTTCCATTTCATTCTCGATGCCGACTACCCGTTGTTCACCGCGGCCCGATTTGCATCCCGTTTCCACCGGCATTTGCCAAATGAAAATCCACGATTCCTTCGTTGTTACGTTTCCGAATATACGGACCGTGGCCGAAATTCTCGACTCGCGGTTGCAATCTGCATTTCTGAATAGACCGACGAGCGTCCAGCGAAGACGAAAAGTAAATTCGACTGTTTAAAATACTGCTCGCCGGTCTACTCTCGCAATCAGCCTCGATGGGAAACTTATTTTCGTTTACCTTCAGCCTGAAACGACGTTTTGGAATATCGAAGTACCGAAGCGTTGGCAAACTTATTAATTTATCGGAGGTATTTCAGGATGGCTCGAATTACTACAACATTGCAGTTTTTCCCGCTGAGCTTAACGTTCACGTTCTTCGACGGATATGCAAGTTTGTTAAAATCGATCGTACGTAACCAGTGAATTCTGAACTCATGTATAAAATTTACGAAATATTGTAAGTTTGAGTAACTCGAATAAATAAAAAGATGCCGCTGAAGGATGTCAAGTTTTCGGCCATTTTAACCCATTCCCAGTCCGTGAGTCGTATAAGTGTGTCACAGTGAGATCTATGAAAAACCAGTTTCTTTAAAAATAGCTCGTTCGCGGGAATATAGGCTCTGGCATACTCGATCGAAAGGTGCTCTACAAGGCTAAAAATTTCGACCACTTTGTGTGGCCCTCTTTCAAAACTTGCCAATTTTTTTGCATATATATTGATGTTTTATTCGAGTGAAACCAGCCGCGAACGGCAGGAATTATCGCGTCGAAATAAACGACTCAGCGACATTCTTTTGTAAAGTGCAGAAGATGCAGAGACCAGGCACGTGTCAGACGCGTTTCGCAGAATTTCGTCGAGGAAACATGTAATAAATTGTTGCACGAAGGCAACAGACATAACAATTTATTCTACGAGTCGTACAGTTGCACCGACGATCATAACAACCCCTCGCAACTTACAAACGGTTGCAACGAGGATAGTCGTACATAAAATCATTTCGTTCGTTGCCTTTTATACGTCTCGAGTCGCAGCGATGTTCTATGGCAGGTGACACGCTGCAATTCGACACGGACATGCTGTATGACAGGTGCTACAACAATAAATCGTTACGTCTGTGGGCCTTATAACAGACATTTGCGAACAAAAGTTAAGAAACGAGTTCTGCAAGTTCGTAGTCTTAGATATAGAGTGATTTTTTGCACACGGTTATTCATTTTTAATTGCTTGTTCTATTCTTTAAAGTCTGAGAAATATACTAATAAAGGGTTAAAAATGTAACGAATACATTAAAGTTCTATATTCTTTGCTTTAATATTAATTTATGGTCGATAAAAACTTGGCATCCTTCGTGATTTGACTAACTAATTAATTTTTTTTTTTAAAACATCCGTGACTAGTTTTATGTAATCCCGTAATAGCTCTATGGAATTTACATTAGGAGACCGACCTAACCGCTTCGGAACATTGATATTCAAGTGGGAAGATCCAGCATACGAATTCCTAAACGAACTTGGCCGAATGCTTCGAGTCATTATCATGCTGGAATAATCGTTCAACGAGCATCTCCTTGGCGACAAACGACATCACGTACGTTTTCAAAACGACTTTGTCCCAATTACATCTCTCGGAAATTAAAAGGTTATATTTGGACTCTTCCTGGCAAAACTGAACCGTCACGCGTCGTACGTATTCGCTTATATTCGTCGTGACAAAACAACCTTGCACAATACGCAATTACGCAGCGCGCAAAGTGACTCAGAGACGACGTCGATAATTTAGAAGCGTCAAAGAAACACTGGGATTGTACGATACTGTTTATAAAACATTGATCGCGATGAGAAAATGTACGCAAGATAAAAATTAAATTTTCTCCAAAGGTTAGAAGCAAAAAATACAAAATGAAATCGTGAGCACAACGGTGCAAAGATCGAGAAGATCACGAAGTAAGATTCAAAGGCGGCGCGTTTCGCGCGGCTTCCGGGAAGATGCAATGGTCGAGCGGAGTCCATGGGAAAATATACACCGACGCCCTTGCATTCGTTATTATTGACGGAATAAACACGGCCAGCGCGGTGCACGATCCGGTATCGCGGAATTGCCATCTCCGCCTATGTGTGTTTCAAAGAGAACTTCCTGGCCTCGGACGGGGCGGCCGCGGTTCATCGAGATAGCTCCTGATCGCGCGAAAGTCAACGACGATAATGACCGCGAACGAAGGTAACAGTACGCGAGTTCAAGTCCATAAACCATCCTCGAGCCGACCGCGAAAGTCTGCTAGGCAGAACACGCTTTCCGCGTAGAGTGCGCCGCTCGTTTCGATAATTTATGGTCGCATTAGGTTCGCGAGATTAACAACACACCGCGATACCGTTTAACGGGGCCCAGATCCACCAGCTGACGGCGTTCTGTAAACCATCGTTCGATCTCTCATTATCTCCCCGTTCCCGCGAATCGTTTTGTTTCCGTCTAAACTCTTCTATTTTACGCGATCTCGCGAAAGAGTTCTGGAAAAAGGATTACGAAGAAACGAGCCTCGCTTATTTTCTAATCGCCCGGGGGGAACGTTGATGAACGGTTTCACGGAATCACGAGTGATTCATGGAACGTGATTTAGCTATTGGTCGAGGAACAGATTTGTAAAGGTTATGCAAAACAAATTCAAGCGTGTAGAATGTACATTTTTGCAGTGGACGAGATAAGAGATTGCAACGAGATATGATTCACGGTAAATAAAACGTTTTGCGATCGTTGAAAGTTAGTCGCGAGTCTCGGAATCCATGGTCGAAAATTGATTTGAAGCATCGTGGCATCGAGAAGCCTTCTCGCGCGGTAAAAACCGCCTCGCAGACTCCTTTTTGCCAGTGGCCGTCGTCTACGAAACGACGAACAAGACGCCTGTTCCGGTCCGATGAGCGGAAACGGTTTAAAAGTTGCGGACCGCGCCAATTAAACTTCTTCGTCGTATCGCCGCCGCCGCGCAAAATTGAGAATTTATGTCCGAGCCGAGGCGTCTCGGGGAAAATTTTGTCAATTAAAGTGTCCTTAACGTCTTCGAGCCTGGAGGGAGAAAACCAGGCAGAAAAATTGTTTGTCGCGGGGGTGTCGGTGTTTCGGTGTGTTTTTCACCACGAAAGTTTCTCTGAAATTTTTATTCGTCCGCAGAAACCGGAGAATTTAGCAAACCATTAGACACGTAATTGAAATGAAAAATAATAAATATATTTTATCTGCGAATCTCGTGAAATTCTGTTTACTTTTAGGGTCCCGGGCAAAAAGTTGGGAAACCGCCGTTTTAAAGTGTCCTTAACGTCTCGGAGCAGCGGGGGAAAAAGAAGGAAGTTTGAGAAATTGTTTGTCGCGGCGCAGCTAGTTGGTACTTTTTTTTTGCGACTTAATGCGAAACTTATAGCGAAATTAGTAGGTGGGGGAGATGTATGCCGCAATTACGGGGCTGTCGGCCCGGTCGCTGAAATATATCGCGGGTAGGAACGAACGCTGGACGGCGCAATCGAGTCTCGCCGATAAAATCGTTTTTCAAATTTCGTTGCGAACGTACGCGACGCTGTTTAATAGGAAGCTTCGGAATTCGAGGCAGCCCCGGCGCGCGTAAATCACGTGGATGCACGGGGCGTTCTCCGACGCCGTGCGTCGCGACGCAACCCGCGCGCACGTTAATAGGTTTGCACGCGCGTATCCCTAAGCGTAATACAGATTTTATCTACCCCAAAGCGTTGTCTACCGGTCGAAGGGACCAGACGGTTTGATCCACGTTGCTCGTACGATTTCGAAATCCGGTGAAATCATTGCCCGATCGACCGTTACTCATTAAGGGAATCGCTCGTGCCCGGCGATCGTATCTACGAAAATAACGCGCTTTGGGGCCCCGTGCGATAATGCAACGTCCCCTCCACCCTCGTTGGTTTACGAATTGCAAAATGCAATCGAGCGCGGGATCCGGTTTCGTTCGACTAATTGAACGGCGAAATAATTAAACGTAACGCGCAAGACGCGATGGACAGAACAGAAAATGATCGATCAGCGTCAGGAAATACTTTCCAAGTTTAAATCTGTAGAAAATTACAAAGCCAGGACGACGAATTTATGAAAATTTCCACCCTCGCGATAACCGAACTAATTTACATTGTTCGTGTCCCTAAAAATAACGATTCCGGGGATATTTTAACGAAAGATCGAGCTCGCGTTCAGCCCCCAGTCGCTCGATAAAAGCGGACTTCGAGCAACCGCTGGCTACCTCGCGAAAGAAATCGTGTTTTAGAGACGATTACCTCTATCCGGACTGGTTTGTTTTTTCTTCGTCGAGTTCCAGCGACCGGTTAAATTTACATCGGCAGCCGTTCGGACAACCTGTTAAATATTTGCCCGCGAATCCGAGATCCGCGCGAGGGATCCACGGGACCGAAAAGAAAAAGAAAAATAAAACGCAGAAACGCCGCTGTAGCAATAAAGTTATTCGTGCGGCAGAGTCGGCGATAAGGTTTTTCGATTACGTCGCGATGCCGTAAAAGTCCGCGTTCTCGTCGTCGGCGAAAAGGTTACAGCCGGGGTCTGGCCCGAGCTAATCTCGAGCCCCATAAATACGAGGACCCATGGGAGGATGGTCGTCGATCATAACGATCCGAAACAGGAGGGGGGCTGAAGGGAA